AAAAAAAAAAAAAATAGCCATATGTGGCTAATGGCAACTGTACTGGACAGTACAAATATAAAACAGGAATCTAGTTTTGCAATAAGTTCTTTAGATAGCAATATTCCAAAGCATTGCAATAGGAAACTGATGTTTGGAGATATCACCATAGCCCTTCACAATTTTGGCTATCCTCACAATATTTCATTCACATAGTCATAAGTTCTCAATGTACCATTCATTTAGTTTATAAAGATCCAAAAGAATCTATTCTAAAGTCATAAGCATACAAACAAAGCACATTCTTATACTTAGTGACTGCTTGATTAATCATATATCATCCCAAAACTATCATTGCATCCTGAAAGCCTCTAACTCACAATCCACGTCGGCCATTAATACCTCTTCTCACAGTCTCAAGTACAGTCTGACACATAACAGTCACAGTCTTCCTTTACCTGGCAGTCAGGCAGGTGCACACACACGCAAGCACACATACACAGAGCCATGAAGTACAATACTCTAGCAGCCTGGTTGCCATGGGTTGTGTCGGGCTCAGAGCTCTGAGAGAAATCCAGACCCTGTCTCTCAGCCTTTTGCCGCTTTTCCAGGTCCAGGCTACATTTCCTTGAAAGTATCAAGGCAAAATCTAACCCCTTGTATGTGAGATTTTTATTTTTTTATTTTTATTTTAATGTTTTTGGGGGCGGGCCACTTAGGATGCCTAGGAGTATTTGAAATTTTTAGAACTGCTGGAGATTCTGTTGAGGAACATTCAATAGGACTGCTCAGACTGTAGCCAAGTGAGATCTACAGTTTGAGCAAGATACCCTCTGGAATGGCACCACTGCACACCTCACAACCCAAACCTACATACAGTGGGTGAACTGTGATACGAATACGATCTCCTTAGTGATTTTAAACTACATTTCCTGAATGCCCTGCATCACCTGCCACCTGTTGCTAGTAATAATGCTCTCTCCTGCACCCTCTCCTCTTACTTGATAGGGATACCATTCTGCCAGCTGACACTTGGACAGTTATAGCTGTTGCCATTTTACAGAGAACAGGATTTAGGCTTGGAAGTGTCACAGGAAGGAAGAAGATCACTAAATAGGTGTCCCTTTCCACCTTGAGAGCCCCTTTTGGAAGACATCTTTCTCCCTTGTGAAATCTGGTGTGTGAGTGGTTCTAAATAGTTTTATGGGCTGAGAATGTTTTGATATAGGTCTTTTTTTATTTCCTTTGTTCTGCTTTTTCCAGGAAAGGTACACAGAGGAGAAGAATATAGTATTACACATCTGAAAGTCTTGCATGAAGTAAGTTTCCATTTATTTCTCTTCTTGAATTTCTTCCTTTTAAAGTTGTTTTCTGGGGGCTGGGGAGATGGCTCAGTAGAATAAGTGCTTCCCTGGTAAGTGCAAGGGCCTGAGCTCAATCCCCGGTTCCCCCCCCCCCAAAAAAAAAAGATGTTTTCTGCCTCCTGCAACATCTCTCTAAAGAACCAACTGTTGGGTGATTGCCATTTACCCCAGAAGTTTAGTTCCATTCCTTGACTACGCACACCTCACCTTTCACCCAGTTATATATCAGTCTTCTTTAAACTTAGACTGATGAAAAACAATTATACCTTGCAGAGGGAAATTTGATGAAATTTTAACTTTATTATGGAACTTTCAAACAGAGAAAATGGGAACCTCAATGTATCCAATTCCTATCTATGATTAAAAACACTATCGATCTTTTTCCTATAGTATTTCTAAATTATTTCCTCCTTCTCTATACATATATGGCCAAAAATGACATATTTTGAAATAATCATCATGCTCTTGTACCAACACAAAAAACTAACAGTACTTCTATAACACCCTATACCCAGTCTATATTCAGATTTACCCTATATCAAAGGAAGATTTTATTTTATTTTTAAAATTAATTTTATTGAGAAACAAATAATAATGAGACAGTTTCAAAACAGGATAGTAGGACAGTTACAATAATTAATACATTGCATATTATTGTCTTCGTAATAGTTATTCATAGTACAAGATGCAGACATGATATCCTACCCAAACACTATTGGTACAAATTTTACTTCTCATTGAATTAAGAGAAAGTAGCTGTATATCTATCCTATTTTGTATATACAGATACAAAATGGTCCTTCATTTATATCCCCCTCAAAGGAAGATTTTATAATTGGTGTATTCAAATCAGGATCCATATAGATTTTACACATTACTTTTGGTTGCCAGATCTCTGAAGCCTTTTAAATCTATTACAGTTTCTTTCCTGCTTTTTGCTTTCTTTCTTTTTTCTTTCTTAAATTGGCTTCATTTATTTGTAGAAAAGCTAGATTATTTGCCCTATAGAGTATTCCACATTCTGCTTTTGACCAGTTTCTTTTTTGTAGTGTTAAAAGCTTGTTCTCAGATCACACATTTTTCTGTAACTGTATAGTTAGAGCTAGATGCTTGATCATATTTAGATCAGGTTCTGCCCAAATCCCAGTAGTTCATAGTTGGTGCTGTGTTCTTGTTACATTGCATTATGAGGTTTTTAAAGTATGATGTGGTATTGATCATTGTTGAAATATTGTTCACTTAATCTTTCCTTCGTAAAATTCTAGTTTCTTCCCTAAAGCATGTATTTTCGATGGTGGGAAAAGATATTTTTGCAAAGAGGACCAACCTTGGTTCTTGGCAGGGAGAGGGTCAAAAACAGTACAGTGGTTTGTGGCTCTCCAAGGACCACAGTACATGAGCAGACATGTACTGTATCTGTGGCAATAAAATGTCATATGTGGTCTTTAAAAAGCTTCTTAGGAGTTGGTTTTTGTGAGATGACAGGTCCTGAAAATGAGATGTGGTAGATGAAAAGAAAACAACTGCACTGGTGGTGCATGCCTGCAATTCTGGCACTCAGAAGGCTGGGGCAGGAGGATTGTTGAGAGTTCAAGAGCAACCTGGGCTGCAAAGTGGGCTCAAGACTAGCCTGAGCTGCATAGTGAGACCCTGTCCCAAAAAGGAGAGAGAGGACTGGGGAGATAGCTTGGCATCATGAGCACTTGCCTTGCAAGCTCAAGGTCCCAAGTTTGATCCCAAGTACTGCATGCTATGCTGGCCCTGGAACCCTGGCTGTGCCATGCCACCCTGAAACCAGGTGTGGTGGCAGATGTCCATAATCCCAGCCCTGGGGAGGATGAGAGGAGGATCACTCTGAGTCCTAACTATGTAGCGAGACCCTGTATCAATAATGAAATAATAAAAATTTTAAAAGAAAGAAAACAAATGAGACAAAGTTATGGGATGGGTAGGGGCACACAATCTCTGGGACTGAAGTCCCAATTGCAGTGTTTTCTGGCTATTTATTAGAGTCTTCTCTCTACAAAAAACAGAAATAGGGGGAAATGTGCAGATAAGTGAGAACAT